ATGAATGGTTCTTTTCAATTCTTAAATCTATTATCCTGCATCCTAATTTGAATATAAGTTTAGAATTTCAAACAACATTGCACTTATTTGATGGATTTAGATGTTCTTATCCTACTCCTTCATTTCTCCTATATTTATTTCTTCTTGATCCTTCCTATTTCTTGATCCACTGGCCACTTACTCTAAATATCCACCCTTTTTATCTGTCTATCCTGCCTATAATTGCTCTATTAATGACAGCTAGAGGCAAGGGTGTATCAAGGGTGTATTCTCAAGAGTTGTATCTAGCTAGTTGCTCTCTCCTTTGCCATCAAGTCAGAACTGACTCACAGCTGACCCTTCAGTGAATTTTCAGAGGCAGTAAATCACAGGGAAGAGGGAGCCCATCTTTCGCCAGTAGAGATGCTGGTGGATTCAAACCATCAGAAACTCTCTGTCTTTGGGTAAGCAATACAGCTCTCTGTGGACTGCATCAGCAGAGCTAGCCTGGTTTAGTGACATTTTATCATTTCAGGGCACTGAAAATGGAAACAGAGGTAGTGGCATTATCAAACATTTGTTTCTAATTGGTGGATAGCACCTATCTTACCAGACTATGTGTTGTTGCAAAACCTCTGTATTCCTAGATATAGACGTGAATTATTATGCACACATACATGTACTCTTACTATAAGCAGTTAAAAATGTCACTCTCCATTAGCTGTACATCTAGATTACCGTCTCTCTTGCTTGTAAGTAAATGTTTGAGTAACATCGCAAAAGACAGCCTGTCTACCTTTGCATATCAGTTAAGATATTCATGGCTGAGAAAACTTCACCTCACTGGGTTTATTTTAAGTCAATCTTGATGGATGGCCTTGAAAACCTCAGCATAGGAACTAAAATTCACGAATGTTTCAGGCTGAGGTTTTTCTTTTTCCTTCCCCCTCACCCCCTGCCCTCTTTTCCTTTTAAAGGCATAGCCACTTTATCATTTCTGTCAAGCAAGGGCTTGATAAAATGAGAAAATTAGAGTAGAGAAGGAAGCCAGAAGGGCACTAGAATTTTGGGTTTTAAAGAACTCTTGTTTATATCTTGATTATATGGTAGATTAATGTTTTGAAAATGAAATGTAGTTTGTGTGTGGATCTTGGTATGAATGAAGGAATGACTTAAGTTCCCAGAATTTATACAATGAATATTTGTTTTCTGTATAAATCATAAAACAACATTATGATCTTTACAGCTCCTTCACTGAAATAAAGTTATGCTGCTTCCTATGGATACTGATGATAAGAGAACATACTAGACAATTAATGTAACAAATAAACCCTAAATCTCAACAGTTTACAAGTATTTGTTTTTCTTCTTCCCACTGACCTGAGGCTAAAATTCACTGGATCTTGTCTGGGTTTCTGTTGAGCTTTGGCTTCAAGCTCTAGCATTGTTTTGGGGTCTGCTCCATATGTAGATTTCCAGCTACCTAGGATGTGCTCTTTTAATGGTGATGGTAAAAGTGCAAAGGAAGGAGTGACACTGCCTCTGAAGGCCTTGGCTCTGAACCGGCATACTGTCGCAGTATCAGTGGGGCAGGGGAAATACAGAAGACCCCATCCAGTAGGAGACAGCACAAAGGTCAATGGAAAGTCTTGATTTTGTAATCATAATCTGACAAGTGAGTGAAAAGGTGGCAATAGTAACCCAATGTACTACAGGCAAGGAGAGAGATTTCATGTTGGAAAGATGGGCTGTGGGCACTGACGGCAGTTTTAAACAGTGTATTACTTTTCCTTTCTGTCTGCTTCTATTTGTTTTGATAATTGACGGCAAAACCCCAGTCTGATGTTATAGGTTAGCATCAGAAAGTGCAGCTCCTCGTTTGAGTGGTTGAGAAAAGCACAGACTTTCAAAGTGGTTACCAGGTAAGTCACCTAAATATGTTGTAACTGTTCTGTGTGTTGCATTAACAGTGGTCAATGTAGAATTAACCTGTCTGTGTATGTGTGGTCAGCTGTTGATTTGTCTTTGGGAAACCAATTAGCAAATACATATGAGGTGGATTGACACAGTGACTGGGGTGATGGGGGCAGGTGTGTCAGAGATGTGAGATTGGCTCAGGATAAGGAAAGGGCTCAGAGCTACTGTTCATAGCGGCACCATGAGTTGTGGTCGAATCAATAGCACATAACAACAACAACAACAACATTGGACTAAAACAGATTTTAATTATGCTATGCACATGAGAAAGACAAATTATTAAATTGTTAAGAATTTTATAAGTTCTTCACATAATCAGTTAAAATCTAACATACTAAAATCTGCTCAGAAACTTATTTTACAGACATCGGTTCTATTCTTTCAGATGGTGAATAATGTTCTATGTTTTAATCTGCTTTCTCAGACTTTGAGAATAACAGTTTATATGTCATTGATTGCTGTCGTTGGTCACTTCCTGTCATAATGATTCTTCCCCAAAATATTGCATGTCACGGTTTTACCTTGTGTGTTTCCTTCATAGGGATATTGTCTGGTTAAACATTCAGTTCAGTATTAGCAATTAGCCCCTTAAAATGGAAACCATTTTGAAAATACAGTGACTTTTCACTGTTCCTATCTCCAGTCTGGCCGTTTTTTCTTGCACATCAAGAGTGAATTGGATTCTGTACCTCACCTTCTGTATGCAGTGCTGAATAATCACTGCAGGGTGGGTGAGTGTGCTTGTATGCTTTCTCTCAACAGCCCGAGTCCTTGTCATTGTGAAGAGTCATGGCTCTTTTTGGAATCTGGGTAATATAGACAGTTATCAATCAGCCATTGACTAAAATATTGGTAGTTCAAAGCCATTCTATGACCCTTCAGAATAGGACCAAATTTTCTGTGTCTATAAACATTACAGCCAAGAAGACTCAATGGACCAGTTCTACTCTGTAAGACATGGGGTCACCATGAGCCCGCGGCTTGCTTAACAGCAGCTAACAACATCACTGTCTTATGCTAAAATGATGAATTTATACTTACCAGACAATGTGCCTCTGATAATATAGATGCCTTACAGTCAGTGTTTGTACAGTATGTTGTTTGTGATGTAAATATTGTGCTTTATATTATTTGAATAATCTGTGTAAACTTTGCTCAAAGCCAAGAGTCACTCCAGAATAAAGATGAAAAGTAGGGGGAATTAAAGTGAGGGATATGATTAGAAATTATTAAATTTCTACAGTTAAGGGAGCAAGGCAGGAGAATGCATCAGTATAATGCCACAAATATAAATGCCTAAATACGGCATTTCCCCTGCCAATTAGGGATATAAATATTCTAGGGAGGGTTTAGACCATATAAATAGAAGTTAGTCTAAACTTTAATTGTCTCAGCTCTTACAACCAGCACTTCCTTCTTCTTCAGAGCCCCATGACTGTAAATTGGAGATATTGAGCAAATGGCCTCATCCTCTTATTTCCTTTCATTACTTTTTCTTTATTATATGAACAGGATTGGTACTTCAGTAGAATATGAGCTTCTCAATGAAATTCCAAGTGGTGTTCCACAGGCAGGCAGCAAGAGACATGTGGAAGCAGGGAAGCCCAGTTAGGGAAAATGGCAGTCATTCTATGTAGTTGACCAGAGTGAAGAGAGTGATTGGCTCTGGCCTTCCTGCCACCCCCGTCTGCAGAGATGAGAGAAGATGTGTGGAGGCCATGGAACCTCATTTTCTTAGCAGTCCTAGCAAGGGGTGGACGTCCTTCCAGCAGGCAGCTGGAGACTCACTGTGCCCTGTGTCACCTTCCGCTCTAAAATGTGCTTAGAAACCAACAACCTGAACGAGCAAACAAAAAAAAGTAAAGCTTTGCCTGTTTCAAATTCTCTTTCTTCTAAAATGCTACTCAAACATGAATGAGAAGCATGTTATCCCACAGTTTCTTTGTTAGCTGACTTATTTTTCAGCTCAGGTTACTTGTAAGGCAGATATTCAGCATGGCAGAAGCAGTTGACTGACTCTGGGTTGCTGCCAAAGAAACCCTATTACAGTGATTATGTGTAATAAACACCTTGTCATATATCCAACAGTGATCTCTATTGCAAAATTGAACTGAGCCTAAACCCTAATACTGTCTGGGTGTTTAAGATTTTTGCCAAGTTACTTACCAGGGATTAAAAGAATACTAGGGATTTAAGAGTTGCCAGGGACCATGGGGTGATCCAGTGTAGTGTTTTCCAACCTTTGCCCCAGTAAAGCATTACATATTAATAGGTGTCCTTGAAAAATGGGTTCCATATAGGGTTAGATTTCTTTACAGAGAAAAAGCTAAAGTTCTTTAGCACGAGTTGTGGTTCTCCATGGGGTTACATTTTGCAGATTGTCTCACATTTATTTGGCCAGATCATCTCAGAGAATGTTAGGCAGAAATTACAGTATAAGCATTAAGAACATGGACCCTAATCCATAAATACCTACGTTCAAATCCTGACATCATCTTTTCTTTATGATGTTGGACAACTTTCTGGGTTCAAATAACTTTGTACTTCAGTTTCCTCTTTTAAAATGGAAACAGAAAGGCTATCTATCCAATGGGATCATTTTAAAAAAACTAAGAATAGGGCTAAGAACAGTGCCTGGACATATATAACTATCATGATCCTAACATACTTTGAGTGAGAATGAACTAGCCTAATAACTTCATTCTGGAGATGAGAAAAGTGAGGCCTGTGGTTTCTCCTATGATTCCATTTGCAATGAGAGTAATCTGGGTTTCCCAGAATACTATACAAGAATAGGGAATGTGAGTTATAGCTTATATACTTATTTTTAAAATGGAAGCTGAAGGCATATACTTTCATTCTTTTAGTGTGATCACAAGATTGTAATTAAGAGAAGCACTTTTGGAATAAAGTAAACACAAAATGGCAAAACCTAGAAAGTGGAGTAATGAATTAGTCTCAAGAGACATGTAGGAGCCCCCAGAATGTAGCTTGACGTTCTTCTAGTTGCCGTGCCACTGATGGCCTTCTGTTTGTTTGTTTAGGCATCTCCTCCGAGGGCTTTCCCCGGGACTACTCCAACGAGCAGGCAGCAAAAGACCTTTCCAATGGAGATGGAGCTTCATGGGTGTTGGGCTATAGGTCAGGACCAGCCTGCCCATTTCTGCTCCATGAGGAGAAAGACAAGCCAAACAGAAGTGATTTGTACTTGGACCTTCACGTAAGTAGAAATGTTAGTGGTTATAGGGTGATTGTTAAGATAAAAAATGCTCATTTAATGTAAATCTGTGCAGATAAAGCTGCCCAAGTTGGATTTTATGTCAGAGTCACTATTTTTTTTTAAATTTTTATTGTGATTTCAATGAAAGTTTACAGAAAAGTTGGATTTTCATTCATTCAATGTTGTACACTTCCCTCCCTCCCCTCCCTTCCCCCTCCTTCAGTTCATTTTGTTAAAAAAAAATCATTCATTGTTGCACAGTTTCCTCCCTTTCCCTCCCTACCCTTTCCCCCTCCCCCAATGCACTTTGCAATGCACCTCTTATTATATCTTATAAGGTTGTCATACTTACAATGACCAAGCATAAACTCCTTTGAAACAGTTCTTTCCCTCATCTGGTCCAAAAAGTGGTTCTTTTAAAAGCAAACTTTTAAAGAAAACAGATCTATTCTGATGATTTGAAATTTATATACTAAAAAGTGATGACTGTGTTTATAGTTCATCTGTTCTCAAAGGCCTCTGTTCATACCACCTCATTGCCTATACCTGATTGTCGAAGAGGCCACTTCTTTCTAGGTGCCTGTAAAATGACTCGAAAATTTGCAACAATGGGAGGGGGGAAAAGGAATATTTTTTGTGTTAAAAAAACAATGACTCCAACCCATAGCAATCCTATGTTGTTGCTTGTTGTTGAGTGCAATTGAGTAAACTCTGACTCATAGGATCCTATGTACAGCACATTGCAACCTTGCCCAAGTCTGTGTCGTCCTCACAGTCTCCACTGTGCTCAAGTCCATTGCTGCAGTCACTGTGCCAATCACTCTTAAGGTTCTTCCTCTCTTTCACTAAACCTCTACCTTTCTAAGCATGAGATTCTTTTCAAGGGATTAGTACATCCTAGTATACCCAAAGTATATGAGACAAAGTCTCATTATCTTTGCTAAGGACCACTTTGACGGTACGTCTTCCAAGATGTGTTGCCATCCGTCGTATGTTAGGTACTCTTCATCAACACCGCAATTCGAAGGCATCAAGTTTTCTTCTGTCTTCCTATTCACTAGCCAACTTTTACATGCATATGGAGCATTTGCAAATGCTTGAGTCAGGTACACCTTAGTCTTTAAGCTGACACCCTTGCTATTTAGAACTTTAAAGACATCCCTGACAGCAGATTTGTCCAACATAATGTATTAGACCTATGTTGTCTGATTTTTTTTTAACTTTTACCTTAATGGGTATTCATTGTAGATCCAAGTTAAAATAAAGTTTTTGAGATCTTAAAACTTTCCACTATTTACCATTATGTTGCACATTGGTCCAGTTATTAGTATTTTTGTCTTCTTGATGTTGAGATGTAATCCATAGTGAAAGTTGGTTCCTTTAAAAAAAACAACTCACTGCCATTGAGTCAGACAGTTTCATAAATGAGCCTCTATTTAGTTCTGAAGATTGGAAATTTTGCAGGAGGAAATTGCCTGTCTTTCTCCTGGGAGGTCACTGGTGGATTCCAATTGCCACAAAGGCATGGCCTATGGGTTAGTAGTGCAGTTAACTATGGACTGACTATACCACCAGAGCTCCCAAGACTACAAGATATTTAGTCATCTTTTAATACTGTTGTTGTTATGTATCATCAAGTCTCCTTCAGCTCATAGTCATAGCCATACTATCTAGGTACAGTAACTCTGAACACTGTCTTATCCTAAACCTGTCTCACTGACTCTGACACATTGACTCTGACCTACCCCCTATTGCCCCAGTAACTGTGTCAATGCATCTCATCCAGCGTCTTCCTCTCCTGTGCTGTCCCTTCAATACTATTTCACTCACAACCTGTGAAGTTACATTAGTGAAGTGATATGTTCTTGATTCTCAAGTGAAATCCAAATAGTCTTTTTTTCTTGCACGTTCATAGACATTTCCTTCTTCCTAACTACTCAAGTAACAGGTGAACAGGTCAGCAGGAAATCTGCCAAATATGGGCTGATCCTTTTGAAAAAAGCACAGTCTTCTTTCGTATTCATTCATGTTTTCAACGACACAGCAGCATTTACTACCCCTATGCAAATCACTGGACTGAGTTTTAGCCACTTCCTGTTGAAAATTGCCTGATAGACTTGATTTATCATGAATCTCATCACTCATGTACATTCTCCCAGTTTCCTGTCAAATGAAGCAGAACATTAGAGATTCAGAAAGCACAGATTTCCTACTATCATTAACTTTAATTTCTACTGACAGTCGTGCTTCTGATTTCTTTCACTGCCTTCCAGTTAATAACTTTTAGGCCTCAAACTATGTTTGATGGGTTTGACTTAATTCCATGATGTCAATATGGATGGAGATTTTCTCAAAAACTAAAAGCAAGAGAAGGTAATCCCTGTGTGCCATCTTAGAAAAACATTCTGCACCCTAGCTGCTGTTAAGTAAAAGCGGGGGAATGGAAAAACATGAAATTTTGACTTTTCTTTTCTATAAAGTAGATCAGCCTGCTCATCTTCTGAAAAACCAACCATGGAAAGCTTTATGGAATATAGTTCTACTCCAACACACACAGGAAGCTGTGAAGTGATTGAGCTGGAAGTGATTGGATAGAAACTGTCAAAACCAGCTAGTTGACAGTAACATGCAACTTGAAAGATATGCTCAAAGTAAGCAGTGTAACAGTGACATCTATTGGCAGAATTATTTAAAATTGAACTTACTGCACATTGCAGACTCTTTTCTATTTTTCTGTTCTTCTCGACTATGAGTGAAATTATTTCTTGCTTTTACTTTTTATTATAATTAAAAGAATTATACAAACATTATAGAAAATTTAAAATATGTAGATAGGTTAAAACTCAAAACTCATTGTACTCGAACCAGAACTGACTCATGGCTGAACCTCCTGCAGATTTTCCAAAGCTGTAAATGCATGGAAGGAGGTGGCCCACCTTTCTCCCACAGAGCTGCTGGTGGGTTCACACTGCAAGAGGAGTGCCACTGTTGGGTTAGTTACAACTCCCTATGGACTACACCAGCAGAGCTCCTTGTTGTCATTAGGTTCCACTGAGTTAACCATGAATCACTGTGACCCTACGAGCAACAGCTCTGAACCTTGCCCTATTATGTGCTATCCATGCAATCATTTACCAAGAAGTGTGCATGTTAGTAGTTACAAAACCACCACTGCGTCTGTGCTGTCACCAGGAGGCTCGACTACTGTATAGAATGACTAGGTCATTGCCCAAGTCAATTCTGTAGTCCAGTCTTGGGAAAGCTATTAAACTCTTAAAAGACTTAATCCAGCATTCGCCAATGAAATTTAGTGTTGGTAAAGTTGCCAAATAATACCTGGAGAGTACTTATGTGTAAAAGAGGAAGAAATTACTCATTCATTGTAAATTAGAGTTTAACTGGCTATCCAGAGATTTCTTTGCTAACTCTAGTAACCTTAGGAATCACTTTAGGGGCAACATCCAAATGTACCAAATGTGTGAACTAGGATAGCATCTCCGTATGGAGCCCCGGTGGAGCAATGGAGAAAGCACTCAGCTGCTGTACTATTTTCTGAGGTACCCCACAGTGTCCTTTAAACATGCATATGAGAAGCTAGCTTAAAAGGCACCTTTTTTTCCCACTGAACTGGGACCCTCTCTTAAAGATGCTCTACTTTTCAGTGCTCTTCAAACCAGATGCCAAAGAATATTTATATACATAAAGTCAGAGACCAGAGAGGCATCAGTGTCTATGCAGCAAGTACAGTTTCTGTAAGATCCTTTTGGGAGGGAAGAAGACATTTCTCCCCATAGAGAGCAGTTTGTAAATTGTTTGTTAACAAGGAACACAGATGAAGAAGAGAAAACTCTAAAAGAAATGTGGCCTGAAATAGAAAACAAACCCAGAAAAGGCAGAATTGGTAAACAGTTAGTGAGATTATATATATTGGTTGCATGAATCTCTAGACGTCGAATTTTTGCATGCCAGCTTTAAAACACTAAGTTTGAACTCTTTTCAGTGGTTCTGGTTTCCAAGGATCAGATCATCACAATTGCTCTCTCACATGTGAGACTCTGAATGCTCCTTGCTGAGCTGGGTTATATTACTAGGAAGGACAGAGCTTCAGGTTCCAAATAATTGTAGCTAATGAACAGAAGGCTATAATTACCAACCCTACACCCACCTTGAGTGTCTAAACCTGTAACAAGAGTCTTCATGTACTGATCACTTCCTACGTGTCAGTAACATCCTTTGAGGATTATCCCTGCAGTAATGCCCAGTGGGTTTTCTTTCACAATTAATTGTGAAATATTGATGAGAACAGGGCCAAGTCCTTCGCCCTTATCACTCGTAAGTGACAAACTATAGCATAAATTAGGTTCCACATCAACAAGTGCACAGATTGTTCTCTGACAGGGGGTTTTTGCAGTTCATGTGAAGGACCACACCCTTGTCTTGTTTTTATAGATGACAATGACAGCCTACCTCTTAAAGAGAATTATCCATGTCATTAATGGAGTCCTGATAATAAGCTTGTGTTTGTAAGTGAAGTGAACTCAGAAATATTAAACCTCCAGTTTTCAGAAGGAGTAAGTTTATGTTTGTGTGTGTATGTGTGCATGTATGTGTGTGTTTGTATGTTGGGTGGAGGAAAGAGACCAGGTATCTATATGATAAATGATCAAGAAGTTATCAATAAAAAAAGAAACCTCAAAATGGGGAATTATTTGGAAAATACATTTTAAAAAATTACAAACTTCATCACCTTACATCATGACAGAACAATTGAAAGAAAGCAATCTGAAGTTATTTTTTAACTAACCCCAAGAAATGTAACTAACTGCCTCTTTCAAATTAGTTCTAATTTTGAAACTGTTGTAAAAAGCTGTTACTGCATTTCTAAAATAATCCTTTGTCCTAATCTCAAAGTTCAGCTTTCATACCATTTCCCACACTTCTCTAGACATCCACTTGTCTTTTTCACGCATTTCAGGATAAGTCTGGTAACAAAGCAAATG